GTTTTAAAAGAGACCTCCTTTGTTGATGTCTGAGAAGGAAATGCCTGGGTTCTGCACATTCTGTGCCTGGAGTTGGCAGAGGGTGGGGGCTGACCACTTCATACACGACCTCACCACGGGGATCCCTGTCTCAGCCCCACTCCTCAGCCCACCCACATGCCACCTGGCCTCTCTGAGTTCAAAGTCCCTTCTGGTTCCTTTGGGCAGATGGCTCCATTCTCTGCTGTGCCCCGTGTGTGTTTTCTCGGTCAGTGATTCTCAAACTTGGCTGTGCATTGAACACACTGGGCTCACCTGGGTCGCTAAAATCCTACTGTTCCCTGGGCACCACCCCAGAGATTCTGATGTGATTGGCACAGAGTATGGCTCTGCCCTACTGTCTCTCTCTGAGATTCCTGCATCCCTGGTCTGCTGCTGAGCCGCCTCCCAGTCTCTCTTTCATGCTGCGGCTTAAACACTAAAATAAAATGAATTCACCATAGTTTTAAGGGTTTGGGGAGGGATAGGCGACACACGCACGCACTTTTTCCATGAACATCTTGAACAAGAAGTCCAAAGCCCAATTTCGATCTCACGTCCAACTATGTCCAACTACTCCTCTGCATTCTATAATTTAGCAAACACAGGCAAACCAGCAAACTCCAAGACCTCTCCCTTGCACGTATCCACACGCTGCTCTTTTCCACAACTGCAACATCTCTCATGCTGCTACTCTGGGAATTTCTCAGCCCAGAGACAAGCTGGGGCTGGGTTTGGGTCAGCACTCAGGGACGCAAGGGCTCCGGCTCAGCCTCTGCCCTGAGGTGGCTCTCACGGTCCCGGGCACCACGGTTCTCACACGGCCACGTTCGGGAGCAGGAGCCAGCCGGCAGCGTGGGGCTGGAGTTTCTCTTCACCCTTTGCTAGGGTTTGAATGTGTCACCAGAATTCCATGTGTTGGAAACGATCCCCACTGTGGAGTATGAAAGGCGGGGCCTTTAAAGGCGACTGGGTCCTGAGGGTCCTGCCCTCGCGAATGAATTAGTCCATTCATGGATTAATGGGTGCTAAAGTAAGTTCAGCCTAAAGCCGCCCCCTTACATATTTTAAGTTCAGCCTAAAGGTTTCTCGATTGATAGTGAACTGTAACCAAACTGGATGCATAAACAGACTGGAACATACTCTCATACCAATCACAGAGTTGCGGCGATCACCGGCAGTCAACTGTTCGAACCATGTTCAAATAAGGCAGACACAGAGCTGTAACCAATCCAGCCGTTTCTGCACCTCACTTCTGTTTTCTGCACGTCATGTTCCTTTTTCTGTCCATAAATGTTTTCCGGCCATCTGGCAGCCCCGGAGTCACCCCAAACCTATTCTGGTTCTGGGGACTGTCCATTTTGCAAATTATTCTTTGCTCAATTAAAATCTGTTAATTTGACTTGTCTAAAGTTTTTCTTTTAACAAGGGTTAATGGACTGATGGGTTATCACGGCAGGGGAACTGGTGGCTTTATAAGAGGAGGAGGGACCTGAGCAAGCGTGCTAGCACGCCCAGCCCTGTCGCCATGCGATAGCGCAGAATGCTGTATGGAAGAGTCCCCACCAGCAAGAAGGCTCTAACTGATGCACCCCCTCGACCTTGGACTTCCCGGCTTCCATAACTGTAAGGAAATAAATTACTTTTCTTTATAAATTACCAAGTTTGAGGTATTCTGTTATAAGCAACAGAAAACAGACGATGACTCCCTCCTTCCTCTTGTCAGGATGGAAGTCATTCTCAGAAACCCCAAAGGAGACTTTTTCTTATCCATCATTGGGCAGAGGGGAGTCACGTGCCCACCTCATCCCTGATACCAGGTGTCTCTTCTGGGCACCTGAACCAGCCAGGGTTCTGTAAGTGAGAAGGGGGCTGGCTTTGGAGGAGGAAATGGACGGTGTTGATGACTGCATTTCCTCCTCTCCGTTCCTTCCATCTCTTCCTCAGGGACACCAGTTACCCATCTTTGACCCCCTCCCCCCATCAGTCCAGTGCTCGTCTTCATGCTGATTGCTTCCCTCTCGTGCTCTGCATTATTTTCTCATCCCATCTTTCTTCTGTGTCATCGATATGGTTGATTCTGTTCTTTGCATTTCTAACTTCTTCAAAAAGATTACTTTCCTCCATTTCATCGGTCATGTGCAAGCTGATATTCCTTTCCTTTATTTCGGAGGACCAAATAATTGTGTAGGTCTCATGTTCATTTTTTTCTGCTTTTCCACATCTTTGATTGAGGTCTTTCTATTTGGTTCTGCTATTTTCCTCAAAACAGCATATTTTCACTCCTTTTGACTTTGCTTTGTTGGTTAGGGCATTGTTTGAATCCTTAGCATCCTTTAACACAAGTTAAAGAATTGATATAAGGGTTTGTAGTCCACATAGAAAAGGATTCTATTCCTTTCTCCCTCCTCCCCATTCAGACTGGACTAGCCCTGTGGTGTGACATCCTTGTTCATTGGCTTTCGATTAGGTAGAGATCAAAAGCTCCTCCCACCCCCCTCCACCCCTCCTGCTCTTTTTTCACTGCCACCTTTCCTGCCAGGTCAGGTGCCTCTAGAATGGCATTTCTCTAACTGGTGTACTTTGTCGTCTAGGGTCTGCAAGTGCTCTGTTAGAATTTTTATATTTCATGCTTTCATTTTGGTAATGATATGAATGTTAATACGTGTATATTCTGGATCCTGTGGATGACCACATTATAACCAAGGTGTTTTCAGGGCTATATTTGCTTTTGTGTTAAAGCATCTCCACGTAAGAACAACATGAGGACGCAGAGCTCAGTTCTGACGGGGCTGCCCAGTGCATGGTTCACACAGAGGTGACAGGAAAAATGAGCCACCAGGCGGGACTCCCAGAATGACAATAATGACACCTACCGAGCACTTGCAAATGCCAGCACTGCTCTGAGTGCTGTGAGTGTATTGACTCAATGACTCTTCTAACAGTTCTGTGAGGGAAGGCACTTTGGTTTTTATAGATGAGGAGGCTGAGGCACTGGGAGGTTGAGTCCCTGATCAAGAGCATGCAGCCAGCAAGTGCAGGAAGCATTGTGACACGGACAGCTTGGCCCCGATGCCAAATTTCTTACCATTGAGCTGTAAGGCTCCCATCAGTTTGCCCAAAGATCAATTCATCTAAAACTAATTCGCTGAAAGACAGTTTACCAAAGAATCCATTTCCCAAACGAGCAAATCACTGAATGTCCAATTTGATGAATTTGCTAAATTCATAAAATATTAATTTCTTTCAATTATTGATCAAGTTCATAATGATTTGAATCAGATGGGTTAATAGAACCTATGAGAACTTTGGAGAGAAAAGACTCCAGGATTCTGGCTTCAGACTTCTTCCCCGGGCCCCATTGCTCCCCCATCTCTGCCGGTCGTCTCCCCACCTCTCTGCCCCTCAGTCTTCCCCTGCAGGAATCAGCACCTCTGGCCCCTTGTGAACTGACCTGTTCTTTCTCTTAGCAAGGAGCTGGGTAGAGAAAAATCGAACAGTGCTTAAGGTGTTCTTAGGAAGGAATAATGAAAACCTGCAAACTAAAATGACACAGAAATCTTCAAAATCTGTTTAAACCATTCTATCCAAGATGAATTACTTTAAGCTTCATGCTGAAAATAAATCATTGATACTGGAATTCAAGGAAAAAACTAGCCTCATATCAAATTTCAGCAAAACAAAAACATCTATCATATTACATTAAATTTGTAGGTTTGGATATTAATTTAAATAACCATTGCTTCATTGTTTTAGTTTTTTTATTTACATTATATACATGTTTTAGTTTATAACATAAAAGCTATATCTCAAGACATTTGTATATAGTTTTATGTTCATATATCTTAAAGTAACATTATAATAAAAATAATTTAAATCACTGTGTGATAAGAACTCTTTTCTTTAAATGGGGTATTTTTTTACTACAAAGCAAATTCTTATTGAGTTATTATAAGAAATGAGTATAAAACGATTTCTTAATAAGCATAGCATGAATACCAAACTGACACAGTAAAGCAAAAAAAACTACAGGAGAATTTCATTTACAAAAAATGATACAAAAATCCCAAATAAAAATATTATCCAACAGTAGCACATTAAAAGAATAATACATCAGCTGGAGCTTATTCCAATAATGCATGAAAAGTTCAATATTAGGAAATCTATTAATATGTTATTAATATATGAAAAAGAGAAAAATAATATATTCACAAATTCAGAAAGGGAAATGACAACATTTGACATTTTATTTTTGGTAAAACTTTTGATAAAATAAGGATAGGTACATACTTTCTTAACATGATAAAATATATATGCCTCAGCCAAAAAACAACATCATGCTTGATGCAGAAACACTGGAAGTATTCCTATTAAAGTTAGGGGCAAACCAAGGATATCTTTTATCATCACTATTATTTAACCTGGTTTTGGAGGTATTAGCCAACCCAATTAGACAAAAGAAAGGAATAAGGCATAAAAATTGGAAACAAAGAATCAAAAATTATAATTATTTGTTGATAATACGGCTGTCTACGCAGAAATTCAAGTTGATTAAAATGAAAAACTACAAATGGTAGGATTTAGCATGTTGTTTAATATATTTTGTGCATACTACTTTAACCAACCAGTAAGAGGATATATTGGGAACAAGACCACATGTACTTCAGCAACAAAACTGACGAAACATCATAATTTCAATGACATGCCTGTTGACTTTTGTTATGTAATAAAAGGAAAAGGGTCTCTGAGTTACTTGAATTTTGAAAAGTCCTGAGACAGTACATTTGTTATACTTAGAATTAAGCCTGGTAGATGGTGGAGCTAAAGAAATGTTCCCTTCCCTTTCCATCACTCACCTCCACACTGCAGCTGACCCCTAATCCTGTATCTGCAGGCCTTGTGCTTTTCCACAGTCAAGGGCTACCTCTCTATTCTTGGGTAGTGGTGGCATCTTAAAGGTCCTCCACCTAAAGCTCATCTTTCTCAGGCCCAGGACCATCCCTGTTCTGCAAAAGCATCTCTGCCCCCTGACCATGCCTGCACAGGTCCTGCCCGACCAAGGGTATGCCCTAATGGGGATTAAGTCGGTCAAACGCCAGACATCAGAGGCCGGCTAAAGGGTTTGCCTTTCATGCTTTGATGTTGAATAGAACAGTCAATGTTCACACCTGTGGGGGAACCCAGGGGAGTAGCTCATGCTGCCTGCTGTCTCAGTGGGAGGGGTCAGGAAGACTTGGGGTCTAGTTGCAGCTCCACCTTAAAGAAAGAAAGTGGAACCCAGGGGTGAAAGGTGGGGTGGAGCAGATCTTACCAAGGCCCCTCACTGTCCCAGTGTCTTCATGGTCTAGGTATCCCCCTTGGCCTCTGGGCTCAGCCGGATCTTCTCATAGACACTGTGGATTGCCGGAGTCAGCTTGGGGCTTTGTGCATGGAAGCTTCTCTTCTCCATGTTATTCTACAATTGAAGTGGGATTGAGGAGTGGTCTTGGTCAGCCTCTAAGAACTATGTACAAGGGCCAGTTGGGCTACCTCTCTCCATGTGCTTGTTGTCCTCAACCAGGTAGTTCTGAGTCTCAACTCTGATAACTCCCCAAAATACAGCTTCAGCCCAGATGCCTCACTTGAGCTCTGCAAGTCTTTGCATTTGTTCTGTCCTCTGCCCAGGATGCTACCCCTCTCCTCTCACCACTCAAGACCTCCATGTTCTTTCTCCCTCACCTCCTTCAGGCTCTTCCTCTCGGTGAGGCTTGCTCTGACAGCCCATCATGCCCCCTCTGCCCTTCCCTGCTTTATTTTCTCCTTAGCATTTATCAGTTTATTTATTTTATTTGTCATTCTCCCTTCCCACCCCCACTAGCATGCATATTCTATGAGGGCAAGGATTTTTTTTTTGCTTTGTACTTGTTTTGGTCTGGGATTCTGTAACCCAGATCAGAATAATTCCATTCATAGGAAGACAGTAGACACTCGATAAATACTCCTTGGACAAATTTGTAAGTCACCTTGACTGCTCTCATTGCAAAGGTGCTTTGGAAAACTGCAAAGCATTCGCTAAATATAAGGTATTACTGTTGTTATTATTATAATCCACATTTTATAAAAGAGAAAACTGAGGCCTGGGAAGGTAAAGTAACTTTTCAAGGTTGAACAAGAAGCCAGCATCAGAGCTGGGTCTCACACCCACCTCTCCTGATCTGCTCCTTCTCCCCACTCCCATCCTCTTCTGTGCTTGTCTCCACGCCCTGGAGCTGTTCATTTTCTCCAGCAGCCTGGGAGCTCCGCAGGGGCAGAGACTGAGGCAGCAGGGGCTTCCAGACAGGGCTGAGTATCTGGGTTGGATGCCACCTGGTTCGTTTCTCTATCCTAAAGCTACATATTTTCCTCCTCCTGTGTGTCTCTGGAGGGGGGTATTGGGGCTTGGGTCCCAGGGAGTTATTGTATTTCCTGAATCCCCTGCAGCCCAGGTCCAGTGGGGACATGATTCAGAAGGGCTGAGATGGGAAGCCACAATGCCACCGGCACTGAGGCAGATGGGGACAGTGGACAAGGCACTGGACTGGAAGTCAAGAGACCCCATTCAGCCTTGTGCTTGCCACAGTTCTCTGGGTAAGTCCCAGAGTTCCATCTGGGTCTCACTCTCCCCACCAATACTCCTCCCTCAGCAGAATCTTTCCATCTGGGACCGTAGCACCAATTTCCAGCCAAGGGCCAGGAGCCACATGAGGTGCTCTCTCAGCGGCATGGCTTCAGCGGGGGCAGCTACGCCTTTACACAAAGCAGTGGCATTAACGGTAGGAGCTCAGGCAGGTGGGAGGCAGAGGGGCCGGGGTGGGGGAGAAGGGGGGCTTTCCGATGCTCCCCAGACCCTGGTATCTCCGCCTCCTCCACACCCTGCTGGGCCTTTTGCTTTCACTCCCGTTCAGTCTCCCACAGACGGCCGGTCTCACCAGACACCTGGTCATTTACACTCTTGCCTCTCCCGGGGCCCGAGTTTCAGCCTGTGGATGATGAGCCCCTCCAGGGTTCTCGTCCCACTTCCTCCGCTGCCAAGGTGGTGTGCCCTTGGGCCAGCTGCTCACCTCACTGAGCCTCGGTCCCCCTCTGCCCTGCTCTGCCATCCTTCCTCTCCGGGCAGCTGAGAGGCCCTGATGAGATTACGGATGTGGAGCTGTAGGAGTGAGGTCTCCTCGCTCTGCACCACAGCTCACAGCATGCGTGGGCACCCAGGCATGCAACCATATTGCCCAAGGCAAGGACTGGGCCCAGAGCCTCACGGTGGGGCAGAGTATCCTGGACCTCCCAGTTGGCCTGATTCGATTCCCTCAGACCCACCTTAGGGTGTCTTGGGAGGCTGATCTCTGCGTAGGGAGGGTCATGGCTGTTGACCCCTCCAGTCCGCAAGTCAGCAAAGTTCTCCGTGGAAAGGACATGGGGAGCAGCTTCTGAGCTTGGCACCACTGGCAGGAGAGTGGACCCACCTGTACACAGCAGATGCTCAGTGAGGGTGTGTGGAATTGAAGCCAGTGTGAGGGCAGCTGTTGCTCCCTGAGCTATAAGTGCAGGTCCCGGACTCCTGCTCAGTCTCTGCCACCCACCACCCTTTGCTTTTGGTCCTTCACACACCTCCCACCCTCAGCATTGCTCCCCCAGCCTTCTGCCAGGGATCCACAGGAGAGGCCGATGAGCCTCTATCTGCCCACTGTCCTCCCCAGCCTGTCCCTATCCCTGGGGCCTCCTCCCTCCATGGCTCCTCCCCTAGCACCCACCTCTCTCAGCCTTCATGTTCTTCCTCTTCCAAATCCACACTCCGGCCACCAGGCTCGCCATCAGAACCGGGACAAGGATGCCTACCCAAAGCCATTTGCTCTGAGGAGAACCTGGGGTCAAAGGCTGGTGTCAGATCTGCCTCAGTCTGGCCTGGTGGCCAGGCAGGGGTGGGACCTCCCTGACATAGGGTCTGTCTCCCAAGAATGCATCTTTTCTGCAGCCCAGAGGGATTTACGCCTTTCTAGTCTCTCAGCACACTGTTCACTGCCACTTTAATGCTGCTTCTGCCAGGTCTTCTGTCCCATCTCTGCACAGAAATCTCAGGGCTCCCACCAACTAGTGTGCCATTGTTCATCCCCTCCACCTGCCTCTCCTTCCTACTCTCAGACCTCCAGAAGGTTACTACATTCCCAGAAGGAGAGGGAATGGAACGATCTGGGGTCTCCAGACCTCAAAGCATGTTATGCTATTTGTCTGGGATGTCTTTCTTATATTGCCACAAGAAAACTCCTATTCATCCTTCAAGGCCCATCTCAGGTGTTCCCTTCTCTGTGACACCCTTCACTCCCAACTCCCATAGCAGTTACTCAATTTTTTTTCTTGGACCACACTTTGTGTTTGCTTCAACTTCGCTTAACATCTGGCTTTGTATTTAGAAATATACCCCTCCAGCCAGGTGCAGTGGCTCATGCCTGTAATCCCAGCACTTTGGGAAGCTAAAGTGAAAGGATCGCTTGAGACCAGGAGTTCAAGACCAGCCTGAGCAACATAGCAAGACCCCTGTCTCTATAAAAGAAAGTTTTTGAAGTGAGCTGGGCATGGTGATGTATGCCTGTGGTCCCAGCTACTCAGGAGGCTGAGGCAGGAGGATCGCTTGAACCCAGAAGTTGGAGGTTGCAGTGAGCTATGATTGTGCCACTGCACTCTAGCCTGGGAGACAGAGTGAGACCCTCTCTCTAAAAAATTAAAAATAAAAATAAATAAATATACCCCTGCTCTTCTTCTCTTTATTATCTAATAATTACTGACACACTACATGCCATGTACTATGCTGATAGCTTTGCACAGATTCCCTCTTTTAATTCTCATAACAACCCTATAAAGTAGGTAGAAGTATTACCCATCTTACAGATAGAAAGGCTCAAAAAACTAAGTAACTTGCCCAAGGTCACACGGCCAGTACGTGGCGGTGCCCCGCTGCACTGTAAGTTACTTAAGGGCAAGGGCTATGCCCCCACTGTGCCCCACCCCCAGCACATAGTAGGCATTCAGTGCAAGTTTGTGGGTTGAATGCTGAGTGGAGGAGTGAATAAGGAAATGACAAAGAAGAGACTGTTCAGAGGAGAGCCCCAAGGATGCAAGCAGAGCTCGGGAGGACGTTGGAGGGACAGGGCAGCTGACTGATGATTACACCTCCTTTCTACATCGGTTGTTCCTGCTGTGTAGTCCCCGCAATGTGGGGGTTGGTATTTTATGAATCCAGGGCCTGAGGGTACTGTTCCTTTGTAAGAGCTCCCTCCCCCTGATGCACCCTGTGTAGTCCCTTTATTTAGCCTGGGTGACCCCTTAGGCTGACTGGGGGAAGCTTGGTAAATGGCAATAGTGACCACAGGTACTCACACTTCTCAGAGGAGGCTGACTGTGGCTTATGTTCTCAGAGGTGGTAGGGGATGTCTGGCACAGAAGGAAGAGGAAAGGAAAGGAAAGGAGAGGAGAGGAGAGGAGAGGAGGAGAAGAAAGAAAGAAAGAAGAAGGGAGGAAGGAAGGAAGAGAAAGAAAGAAAGAAGAAAGAAAGAAAGAAAGAAAGAAAGAAGAAAGAAAGAAAGAAAGAAAGAAAGAAAGAAAGAAAGAAAGAAAGAAAGAAAGAAAGAAGGAAGGAAAAAAAGGAAGGAAGGAAGGAAGGAAGGAAGGAAGGAAGGAAGGAAGGAAGGAAAAGACAAAAAAAGAAAAACCAGGCATCTATCAGCCTGAACAGACCATGCACGTCCAACCCACTCCACCCAGGGAGAGAGCCTGAGACCAGGGAACACCAGCATTCTGGGGCCTGAGGGAGTGCCCTAAGGGTTCATCAGGCCTCAGTCCTCAAATCCTCCTCTCCTGCTTGGATACTGATGATTAATTCAGCCTCCCCACTCCTTGATTCTGGGAATGGGAGTGTCCACATGCCAGTCCCACATTTATGTCATGGGCAATGCAGCAATCTCCACATATTGGCCTGACTTCTGGACTTGCAGGTTTGAAGACTGTAGCGAGGATGTGGTCATTCACTGAGGGGGGACCTTCTGGTTGCACCATGTGAACAGCCTTACAGTATTCTTCAGTCCCATCACTTCCCTGAGTCCTCCAGTCTTATCCCCAGCCCATCCTCTGCCAGCCCATTTTCATTACCCTCCCTAGTAGATCACACTCACCCCTCAAAGGACAGAGGGTCTCCAGGTCTAGGGTTGCATTCTTCTGGTCCACAGGGTTGCTGATCACACAGGTGAGGTGCCCATTCAACTGGCTCAGGGAAAGGCTCAGGCTTAGATTCCTGGAGTTGGGGGCTGGCACCAGTGTCCCGCTCTGTTCCAGCTCCCTGGGGAGGCCCTTGCTCAGCCAGGTCATTGTCAGGTTCTCTGTGGCCCCTGGGGTCCCACACTCCAGACTGACATTGCACCAGCCTAATGTGTTGGATGATGAATGAATCACAATTTTGGGGTGAGGGATGGGCTCTGGGACAAGAGAGGACAAAAGAAAAACTGAGCTTCAGGATTGGAGGCTCACCCAAGTATATCAACCACTCTCATCTACGTGATGCAGTAGTGTGAGGTTGCCCGTTTTCTAAATATAAGCCTTGGGAAGTAACCAATCCACCTGGCCCACAGGTTCTGCCTCTCAGCCCAGGAGTAGGTAGTTGAGGCCCTTCCTGCTCAGAGAGGGGACCTGGAGCAAGCACCTCACCACCCATCTCCTCTAAGGAGCACAGTGAGGGTCACTTCCTGGGCTTTCCCTAGGCTGCCCTGGCCCTGCACCACTCTCCCATGACTCCTTGGCTCCTTCAAGCCAGCCTGCTCAAAAATTTTCCATGACCTCTGCAGGAAAATAGACTTGAATCTAGAATTTTTCCCCTTCCCATTTAGCATTAAACTGAAAAGGCAAAACAAAGACACTTTAAGACATGAAAGTGCTTAGGATGCTAATCACCTCTCTAAAAGAAACTCAAAGATATGCAGGAAAAAAATTAACCATGAATTCAAGAGCAAGGAAGAAACAAGATATCACAGTGATCAAAGAAGTCAGTGAAACTTACAGTTCAATCTAGATAATTAAGTAATCATCATATATGATTATCTATATCTATCTATATATATTTTAAAATTTATTGATACCTAGATCTATATATAACGATCACAATATGGAAGAGTTGAGAATACAGTGCAAAAAGAGATGTTAAAGTTCTTGTTTTGTTCAGAGGAAAAAAAAAATACTGATTATCTGTAAATGCTAAAGTAAAAATTTAAGTTTAGTAACCAGTAGGATAAAAGTACAAACTACTGGAGAAGTTTAGACAGAGGAAAACATTATTGATCCAACAAAATATAAGGAAAAAACAACGACAATAGAAAACATTAAATAAGATGTCAGGAGTAGGTCCATGCATGAAAGAAATTGAAATACATTTCAATTCATTATATCCCCCTATTAAAATCCATGACTCTAAGATTAGGTAAATCTAGTGTGTGCTATTTATGTTGTCTAATGACACAGAAAGATGAAAAAGAAAGAGACAGAAAAAGATAGGCTAGGAAAATGTAACAAAGATTGCCAGTGTGACAATAGTCACTATGGACCAAATAAAATTTAAGATTAAAAAAATTAAGTGGAACAAAGAGATATTTTAGATTAATATGTACCTAACGACATGGCTTAGAAATGTAGAAATATTACAAAACAAAACAAAACAATAAGAACCAAAAAAACTACTGGAAATTCAAGGATAAATTATCAAATCCACTATTAATATAGTGAATGACTTTACTATGGTGGATAGACCCAAACAGGTTAGAAAGGAGGACGTAATACAGGTAAAACAGACATTAATAGCCAGGTGGCCAATCCAATGGGACGCCCACTCCACACCCATTCCCAGTCCCTGCTCTGTCCTTGCCTTCTCCTATGGTAGAGTCTGGAAAGCTAAACTCTAGGTTTCTCCGCCTTTCTTGCAGTCGCAGTTCTGACAAATGAAATAAGAGGGAATCTGCTAGGTGGGAAGAAAGATCTTCGCTCCTGAAAAGACAAAGCCTCAAAACAAGAAAGACTTTTCACCTCTTCCTTCTCTCTTTTGCTGTATTGATTGTGGTATAACATCCGGAGGAAACATTTAGCAGATGCCAAAGAGAGTAAGGCATGGTCCCTGATCTCAAGGAAACAGGAGACACACACAAATAGCTCTTGTGCAAGACAGAGGGAAGCAAAATCCATAAAAATATTAGAAAAAAATGTTGAGACTTCAAAATGGAAAGGTTCATTTGCTAGGGATCAGAAAAATCTTTATTTAGGACAGGGCAGTTCTGAAAGCCAAGAGGTAAGGGAGAAAGAGTCTATAAATGAGGAACGAGGTTGTCTGCTTAGAAACGAGGGGAAAGATAGCATCAGTTACCGGAGGATGCCTAACGCTGAGACATATGCTTAGTTCTACAGGCGATGGGCAGTGAGCAAGTGTTGGATGATTTAATCTGGGCACAGATGGGTTGTTGGGAAATGGAAAGCAAGATGAAGAGAAACCAGCTAGTAGCACTTTCACTTCTAGCAACTTCTCTTCTGCTCTAACCTCGTGTTTTTTATATGATTGTCCCTCTTAGCACCCTGACCCTGGTTACAGGGGAGAGCACAAGTCCCAGGCCTTGCCAATCAGAGTATGCTATTCCTCTGGCCAGGGACCAAGCTAGGGGTGGGCATATGACCCAAGCCTAGCCAACAAGAGTCCTTCCCTGGAACTGTCTGGAGCAGACAAGGAAAGTCCCTTTGCTCTCTGATGGTGGGGGGTGGCAGGAAGGTGAGGGACAGGACTCATAGCTGCCAAAGGCCATGTTCCTTACCATGGGAGAAGCCCAAGAGAATAAATCTGACAGGGGAGAAAGAGAGAGAGAGAGAGAGAGAGAGGGAGAGCTCACACACACAGACTTGGCAGACTACGTGGCTCCTGACAGAGATAGGAGAGTGCCCACCGGCTTTCTAGCTCCTGCAAGCATGAAGGCCAAAGGAACTCTTTTACTAATCAATCTTAGCTCCTATGAGATCTATGTATCTTTATGATGAAACCCCTCTTAATTGACCTAATTTGAGCAGCTTTCCATTCTTGCTGCCAAAAAGAGATAGGAAGAGACTATATTGTTTTGATGTGACTCAGAAAGCTATGCAATGCATTTATCAGCCAAGGAAAGGAGAGAGAGACAAGATCAAGAACCAGCAGCTGGAGGCCAGGGATGCAGCTGGTGTTTTCTTCACCCTTCATTAACTGGAAATCCCGTATTGGATGCTCAATCCAGTCAACCCTGTCTCTTCTGATAAGCTTTCCCATCTCCCACACTGGAGTCCTTCGCCCCTCACCCATTCCCATGAGGCGAGGAATTGTTGGTTTTGGTGAGGAATTGTAGGGGAGGTATGAGAGATGGATATTCCCTGGAGAGCCACCAATACACGTCAAGGAGGAGAGAAAGGGCCAGCTGCGGGAGGCGAAAGGTAGCAAATGCGGAGCATGGAGCTTGGGGAAAAGTGTCAGCAAGTGAGGCTGGAGAGGCAGCCAGTGACCAGATCCCGTGGAGGACTGGACTTCTTTTCCTGAGTGTTATTGATCCTGTGGAGGGTAGGGCTGGGAGCATTTTAGGAGTTTAAGCAGAGGAATAATAGGAAGAGAAGTGTGTTTTATAAAGCTCAAAATAGCAGCTGTGTGGAGGGTGATTCAGAAAGGGGAAGACACTGGTCAGGAAGCCCCTGCAATGATCCATGCAGGGGTGATGGAGGATGGGTGGAGGCAGAGAGGACCAGCATGAGAGAGCTCTGGCACGTTGGATACCTTCAGACTCTGCTCCCTCTCCTCCCTTTCCTCCAGCTTTCTCCACTGCACTGTCTGCCCAGGGCTCTGTGCTTCCCAGGGGAGGATGTTGGCTTGCTCATTAGCCTGGGAGATCCAGATAACAGAGGCTGGGTCACCTTCTGCATCTTCAACTTGGGTCTAGGACACGCTTTGTCCTGAGAACTCTCCAACTGGCCTTCAGGTCAACTTGTCTAAAACCATTTTACCAAATGACCAATTCTAACAGTTGATCTCCTTTTTAGTGTTTTTCTCACCTTTCTTGATGTCCAGTTTTACTGTTTTGTTTTTGCCAACTTTTTTGGGTCATTTAAGAATTTTTAAATCAGTTTTGAACTGACCAAATTAGGACATTTCTGATACAATTTTGTATTTCTAACAATTTTGCAGTATTTTATGATTGAAGAATTTTTTTAATCCTTTTGTGCAGTTTCCCTCCCCTCCTCATTTCATGTGCATTTTGCACCTTTTAAAAATTTTTGGCTAGTTTTTCCTAAGACGTGATCTTTAAACTTTAATTTTATTTAAGATATCAGAGGAGATTTTTAAATTTTCCCTTAAAAGGGTTGGGTTTTTAAATCTGATTTTAGGCTAACTTACTTTAGATAAAGTGGTTGTTGGAATGTCTGGTTGGGGTGTGGTCCCAAGGCTTACCATATACACAGAGTCTAAAATATTCTTGCTGGGATTCCCCTGAGAAGAATTTGATTGTCGCTACATATAGTCCACTCATTTCCATAGTGAGATCCCTGATGTTCAAGAAAGACATCTCTGTCAGGTAGAATCTATGCTTGTATTTGTCTTCAAGTTCATACCATTGAGGATCAGAGTTATTAGGCTTCAAGGACACCAGAAACTGTTTTTTCTTATACTCGGAATCCCAAATCCACTCAATCTCTCGAATATTAGGGCTCAAGGAAGACTTTGAAGTCAGTTGCAGCTGGACAGATCCCCCCACGGTCCTTTTCAATGTGCAAAAAGAGCTGGGGTCTGCGACAGTCTGGAAACCTGGTAAAGGAAGAGCTAAGATTAGCAGAAGAAAGGAGCAGAGTGAACATTATGTTGTATCTACTCTCTGCTTTCATATCACATTATCTGGATATTTACAAAAAGAGAATCATCCTCATTTTTACAGACAAGGAGCCAAAGCTGCAGAGGTAACTTGCTTAGGCACTGGTCTCGCCTAGGAGATGCCAGTTTGGATTCAAGCACATCTGTTGCCCGCCCAGACTCCTGCTCTTTCCTTCTCTTGGAGCTTGCATCCAACGTGGTCTCTGTTCTAATTTCAGGAAAAAGAAACTGAAAATATTCAAGTTGATAAACAATAATCCAGTTTCCCATTTGTCAGTATGAAAGACAATAATTTTGGCTTTCCTACAGCCAATATTTTTTCCTCAACCCCCTGCAGTTTGGCTTCTGGCCCATTACTCCTCCCAAATTGCTCTTGATTAGGTCCTAATAATCCCTAACTATCAAAACCAATCATCCCTGCACAGTCCTAGTCTTGTGGCATTTGACACGTGACTAATTCTCTTTTTCTTGAAGCTTTACTTGTTTGGTACAAATATTTACCCTTCTGGGCCCTCCATCTGCCTTCTTTCAATAAATATTTAACCAGCTAGGCACTGTTGCAGCTGCTGGGGATACAGTGGTGAACAAACAGACCAGGTCTCTGCTCTCATGGAGCTTCCATTCTAGTGAGTGAGACTGCTGAAAAAGACAAGTAAAAACAAAAATGAGTATTAAGTTCTATAATTATAAGTTCTATAAAGAAAATAAAAGGATGTGGCACAGACTTCCTGTCTGTTGTCTGGCATCAGAACTTCCTTATTATATTTGTGGAATTTTCTACCTTATGAGTCAGAGCCCACTTCCTGCTATAGAAGCTAAAAATGCCACTCATTTTCCCAGCTTCCTTTGCAGCTGAGATAGCACATAACCAAGGACCCTCCGGTCAGAGGCACCTACCCCAGCCTTTCAAACACAAGTGAGCAACATGAAGAGTGGGGGACCATGAAATCTATACTATTGACCATGGTAGTCATGGCAGCAGCTCCATCCAGTTGCCCGGGGCATGGTGGCAGCAGTTCTGGGGCAGGACAAGTGTCCAAAGTCAGTGGTGGTGTGGTGTGAGCTGTGGTGTCTGTACCAGGAGGGATAGACCAGCTTCTACTAGACCAGCTCTGGTGGTATGCCTTAGGGTGTGGTTCCTGGATGAATAGTCTCAAAGCCTGGTCATCCAGAACCCTCAAAGGTCTATGGTACCTGCTATTCTTTAATATATAATCAATTAGTCAGTTGATTTCTGTTGCTTGTAACCAATAACTCAGAGCAAAATGAATGAAAAAGAGATCTGAAGACAGGAGACAGAGAGGCAGGGAAGGCTTTGTCGGGTAAGAAGTGCACCATGAAGCTACGAGATGGGTTTTTTTAATTTACATTTTTAATGGTCACTTCAGAATAGATGTTCTGTGAAAAACGATTTATAGAAGGGCAAGAGCAGGAAGAGGGGTTCCAGTTTGGAGGCTCTTGCAATAGGGTAAAAGCAGGATGGCGGCTGGGAAGGGGGAGAAGTGGAGGGATCCGGGAAAAATTTTGGAGGCAGAACTGACAGGGATTGCTAATGCACTGGATGTCAAAAGGAAGAAAAAGAAGACTCAAGGATGACTTTGAGGGTTTTGGCTCAAACAAATGGGTAGATAGTGGTGGTGACATTTATTGGGCTGATAAAGCATGGGGGAGGAGCAGGTTTGGGGTCAGAGCTGGCATAAAACAAGAATTTGGTTTTAGACACATTAACTCTGGCTTCTAAGAACAGGTGCTGAATAGACAATAGGGTCCAGGTCTGAGGCTCGGGAGAAAGGACAGGGCTAGAAACTGGACGATCGGCACAGTCATGCTACTGAAAGCCATGGGATTAGCCAAAATCACCCAGGAGGAGAAAATAGCTAAAGAAGAAAAGAGGACATAGCACTAACTACCAGAGGGTTTGAGCCCATTAGGAGACACGAAGAAGACACTGCCAGGGAAAAACCAGGTGCTTAATGATGTCACACAAGCCAAAAAAAGAAAGTGTTTCAAGAAGGAAGAGATGGTTAACTATGGCAGCTCTGCTGAGAGGTAAAGTCAGGCTGCCACCCATTCATTCCCTTTCCTCCTCAATAGTTTCAAAATTCTTTTATGCTTCTCCATTCCATTAATACTCACTATCCCAACACATATTTCTCTACTAGTACATTAAAATATTTGAATGCTGTCTCTAATCAACCTCTCCCCTCACCCTCTAATTACTGCTGCCACCAGCACCTCCAGAAGGGTGACAAGCAGAACATTCACTAGCCCACTGTCTGCCCACTCAGTCTTGTCATATCCTAACCCCTCTCCCTACGATATCCTCCCAACTTGGAGGTTTTGCTGAAATAGTCGTCTTCTGATTCTAGACCATTATTAAATTTCCTCTGAAAATACGACTCCTTTATTTCAAGACTCTTTAATTATCACTTAACTTACAAGTTCCCAGTCACATTACCATCTCCATTCGGTTTCATCACATGTGATGTGTGGTTCTTTGCTTATCCCTGTTTACTCTTTATCTTTCCTTATCCTTGAAATCTTTGTTATGACTAATTTGTTGTTTGATGGAGAACTTTTTTGAGAATTTTCTTCAAAGGGGCTCTGTGAGTGATACACTTTCTGAACCATTACTTATCTAGTAATATCTTTCTCTCGCCCTGACAGTAAGTGACATTTGGGAATTACTGTCCTTCTCATCAGGTGGTATGTAGATGTCATTGCACTATCCTCAAGCTTCCGATATTGCAGATGAGAAGTCAGATTATTTTTCCTTTGGAAACTTTCTAAATTTTTGTTCCTTTTTGTTGCATTTCAGAAATTGTACTAGCATATGCTGAAGTGCATGTCTTTTTTTTTTTTTCCATTGAGGTAAAATTCTCACACATACCATTAACATGATAGTGTACAATTTAGTGGCATTTGGTATATTCACAATGTTGCTCAATTGCCACCTCTCTCTAGTTTCAAAACATTTTCATCATTCCAGAAAAGCACTCCACACTCATTAAGTAATCACTCTCTAGTCCCCTTCACCTCATCCCCTGGTGAACTCTAATCTGTTTTCTGTCTCTATGGATTTGCCTAGTCTAAATATATCATATATAAGGAATCATACATATGTAACTTTTTGTGTCTGGCTTCATTTGCTTAGCTCAATGTTTTCACAGCTTATTCAAGTTGTAGTGTGTATCAGTATTTTGTCCCTTTTATGGCTAAATATTACATTGTGTGAGTGTGAGAGAGAGAGAGTGTGTGTGTGTGTGTGTGTGTGTGTGTGTGTGTGTGTGTGTGTACCACAATCTGTTTACCCATTCGTCGATTGCTGGGCATTCCTCTTGTTTCCCCTCTTGGCTATTATAAATAATGCTACCATAAACAATCAAATACAAGTTTCCTTGTAAACGTGTGGTGTCTTATCTCTTGAATACATACTTGGATATGGAATTTCTTGGTCACATGGTAAGTCTGTGTCTTTTTGAGGAACCGCTTAACTGTTTTCCATAGCAGCTGCACCATTTTACATTCCCACCAGTAATGTACAGGGGCCCTGTAAATCCACATCCTCACCAACACCTATTATTTTCTTTGTTTTTTCATTAAAGCCATCCTCATGGGTGCGAAGTGGTATTTCATTGTGGGATGTCTTTCATCATTTAGGTTTTCTTTAATTTTTGTCAGCAATGTTTTGTAGTTTTCAGTGTACAAGTCTTTACCTCCCTGCTTAAATTTACTCCTAGGTATTTTTTCCCAATGTTATTATAATGGAATTTTTTTTTAAGTTTTCTTTTCAGATTATTCATTGCTGGTATATAGAAACACAATAGATTTTCTCATATTTGTCTTACACCCTACAGCTTTGCTGAATTTGTTTATTAGCTCTGGTAGGATCTTTTGTTGACTCTGGTGTTTTCTACACACAGAATCATGCCATTTGCAAACAGAGAGCGTTTTATTTCCTTCTTTCCCATTTGGATATTTTTAAACTTCTTTTCTTGCCTAATTGCTCTGGATAGGACTTCCAGTCCAATGTTGAACAGCAGTGGTAAAAGTGGACATGCTTAAAAAAAAAGTGGGCATCCTCTTCTTGTTCGTGACCTTCAAGGGAAAGTTTTCAGTGTTTCACCATTGAGTATGACACTTACTATGGGTTTTTCATAAATGCCCCTTATCATGTTAAGGAAGTTAACTTCTATTTATAGTCTGGTGGGTGTTTTTATTACGAAAGGGTATTGAATTTTGTCAAATGTTTTTCTGCATCTAAAAATGATCATGTGCTCTTTTTTTCTTCACTCTATTAATATGGTGTATTACATTGATTTTCTTACTT